AAAACTTTTAAATAAAATCAATTGATTATTTAAATATATTTAAAGATAAATTATTATACAATCCAAACATCATAATATAAGAGAAATCATTCCAACATGATACCCTAAAGATTCATGCTTATTCCAAGTGTATGCTTCATTCATTTTAAATTTATTTATATATATATATATATATTTTATCGTGCTTACAATTACAAGGCAAAAGATTCCAACCTCAACCTTTGACTTGTAAAGATACACTTTACTAGACAACTTAGACAACTTATAACCGTTGGACCGTAGAACCAAGTGCCTATTTATATTTTTATTTTCCAACATTTCCTTGCCCAAATATGGTGTGCAAGGTTTAAGCCAATTACTATATTGGCCGGAGGATTGCAATTAATCATGCTCGCAATTTGATTTCAATTGGTATTCAATTTCAACAACATACATATCAAAGAAAACTAAACAAAACATCCTTCACAGTTCCAACAGAAAAGAAACAAATTGATCGGTTTCTAAGCACATATATATATATATATATAGTCAATAAATATAGTTCTCTTCACAACAATAATCAAATACAAACCTCAACTATTTGAGTATTGACACAGGCACGGCTTTTTCTTGATTTTTTTTCTCTCAGCATTTCTGACAAAAATCGAAGGTCCAATCAGAGGAACACTGAGACACTTGATTTCAATCCGAATCCAATTCTCACTGAAAAGGGGAAGACAAGAAATATGCAATGGCCAAGAGTCAAGACTTCAAGAAATACACCTATATGCAACATTGAAGGATGTACAACAAGAGGATAGAGATCTAGCAGCATTTTCAGTTAGTTCCACGGCGGGGATGATGGTCTATAGACAAAATCTTGGGAGGATGTGCCATAGTTCAAATCGAGGTTATGGAGCTGCTCCATTAGCTGGGAGCGCCTTTCCTTGAAAAAATCAAGACGAGTTGTTAATTCTACCAAAGCAGAAGAGGCTGCGGATGGATGTCTTGCATAATCAATTGCCTGCAACCATAGTTGTAAATCACCTTGTGAACTATTCCAGAATTAAGAAGAAAAACAGGTAATAAAGTCAAGATGCAATTAATGGGCAAAAAAAAAAAAATGAAATTCAAGATGTGATTGAAATCAATAAATGACATTCAGTCCTATTCAAGAGATTGAAAAATCAAAGCATTCCATTAAAAAAAAAAAAAGAGAAACAAAAAGAAATAGAAAGGTTGGCCAGTGCTCAAAAAATCATCTGGAAGGATAATTTTGGTAGTCTTACCTCTAATGCTCTTGAAGTGGATGGAGCTGTAATAGAATCAACTGCACAAAACTCATCCACGGACAAAGTTGTGGATACCTCGGTACTTTTTGAGTCACTCAAGCTTGTTTCCATAAATTGCTTTCGGTTAGGCTGCCTGCTGCTGTTGCCAACAGCCAATCCCTGCCCTTTAGTATTCCTCCATTCTGCACCTAACAAACTCTCCTGCTTCGCAATAGTCTGTTCTCAGATTTGGAAAAAAAAAACAAACGATTCTTTTGACAATGAAACAATTTTAAAAACATACCTCTATCCTTTGTTTCCTTTCATGATTACAAAAGGCAAGGGTCGTGTCAAAATCTTGCTGAAGAAACCTCCTGAAGCCATGAAAGACAAATATCTTTACATGTCCAAAAACAAAAATATCCATAATAACTCTGAGTTTGAATGTCTTGATTTAAGGGCATTTTTGTCAATTTCAGTCAGGACTGGCAAAAACAGAAATTTTTTAGAAGTAACGATTGTAAGTGAATTAAGACCTGAGATATGCATAAATATGGCAGCTTGAAGGGATGAGTTAAGACTAAACCATTTAAAGAATCATAGATAGACTTATGACAACTTTTAACTTCTCCTAATGTGAACTTGACAATACCTTCTGATGCAGCTATACCTCTAAATGTTGATAACTGTAAGCTTAGGAAACATATTGCCTAAACGAAGAAAAAACTTGGGAAACATATGGCAGATTCTGCAGACTCACTGTTGAGAGTTGTGATTTTGGACATGTTGATAACGGTCACATGCATCGGAAAGGGAACCATAGTGATGCTGCCTTTGCTGATTCAGTTGATGGTGGAGTTCTGCAACTTTCTGCTTCAATCGGGCCACATCTGCCTCGGCAAGAGCAATCTCCTCAAGCTCAGCCCTTGTCTTCACACAAATTTAAGTCATAAAAACAGGAATTGCTCAAACAGTACAAGAAAATGACCAAAAAAGAAAAAAAGCCCGTAAAATTAATACAAACTTTAGAATCCATCGCGTGGGAACTAGAAAACTGCCCAGAAGACATGCTAAGGCCAACTTCAAGTGCTGCTCTGAGATCCCTTTCAGCTTGCAACTGCTCTTGCAATCTAGAAACCTATAAAGTCAATTGCAATTCAGTAACAGGGAAGGCAATGTTTTATATTTCAACAGGGTTTTTTTTGTTGGAATTTATATAATTACATAAAGAATAAAGAATATGATAATTTGTAAAATTGTTTAGTACAATCCAGTACAGCTTAAACATATTTCCATCAATCAATCACCTAAGCAACCATCAAAAGTGAACAACCTTGCTTCTAGGATTAGGAAGTCAGCCCAAGAAAATAATCAAAGTAAGCAATAACTCCAGTGCTCTATTTCCATTACTTTTCCACCCAAATTACACTGATTTTCTGTCCCCCTTTTTTTGTTGCTTAAATAACACTTACTCAAGAGGAAGGGATAAAGAGTAAATTGAATACAAAATAAGAAATAAGAAACACACACATCTTGTTCAAGTGCTAGGCGGCGTTCATGCAATGCTTGTTTTCTTCTCTCCAAGCTAGCTTGTAGAATTGCATTTCCTCTAGCCTATAACAGATGATGGAAAATATATCAGTGAAAACAGAACATTTCTCTGAGCCAGTGTATATTGTTCAAAATATAATGCTACTACCTCTTTTGCAATTCGGTGTTGAAGGTCATTCTTGGTGATCTCAAGCCTCTGTATAGCAAGCCTGGAAAGAACAGAACACAGTGGTTTTCTATTACCATTTGCCAATAATCGAACATGAATTCCTAATTCTTCAAACCAAAAATATAATGAATTCATGCAAGATTGTTTGTGAAATCAATTATAAATTGATAGCATGCTTACATATTTTGACCTGATGCAAGTCTGCAACAATATAAAACGAAACTGAATGCTTCAACCTAGAAGAATCTAATCCACTTATCAAAGAATGGTCAAAGAAATAGAAATTCATGCCTGAAACAATCACATGCAACAACAGGTAGCCAATATTGAAGTAACAATGATATGCATTTAAATTAGTTCAATTATTCAAAGATTGACAGGCCGTTATAAAAGAGATCCTATATCCTCTCTTCCTAAAGTAACACCAAAAATTAGGAATGGAAGCCAAAAGAAGAAATTTCCTTCATATGGAAAGTTAGATGGCAAGAGATTCTCATTATCAACAACAATGTGATTTCAGCAAACACCCTTGGTAAGAACAAAATTGTTAGAAAAGTGCATGTGCACTTGCTAGCATTGTTAACAAGAACAAGTTTCCGAGAAAGCAAACACATTTGGCAAGAACAAATATTTGAAAAGTGTATGTGCATTTGTTAGAATTGTTAACAAGATCAAGTTTAATGAGTATCTTACTCTTCTTCTCCAGAAGAATCAACTGATTCCATTGAAGGTGTCTTTCTAGTCTGTATAAGAAAAAATTAATGCAAGACTTGAGTGAGAACAATTTTATACTGTAAATGAAAACAAGAACAACTCAAGTAGAACACCTCATGTTTTTCCATGAATCAAAGCGTATGTATCTCCCTCCATACTTAATGAGTAATGAAGTTTAAGTTTTAGAGATGTTTTCAGATGAACCTAGTACTAACATTTGAACAAAGTTTGGGCTAAATCTGAAGATTATCCAATAGCAATCAAGCTTTTCCTACTCAGAAGTTCAGACAAAACATCAAACATCTGGTAATATAATACCCATCTAGAGTTTCAAATAGTGTCAACCAGACAAAACAAAGAAAAAAAAAATGGGGGGAGAAAAGGAGAACTTAAAGAACAACAGAATAAAATCGCATATTATTAAGTCTTTAATGTATGAAGATTACAGTCCATCAAAATCTTAAACATCTATATATCTAGATCCTGTCTCATTTTTCTTTGATGAGCTAATCTAGATCAAATTGTCTTTTTAGTTGTAACTTGTATGGACCCTAATTGTGTTCCTTTTAGTTGTAAGACTGAATGATGCTTTGAAATTTGAACATAATCATAGAGATTTTCCCCTATTCCCACAGTTGGAAAGCTCATCATGAAGCAGCTTCCTAAATCAGTTGACTGACATATTAAAATAACTTTAAATTGTGTGTCCTATCCAATGATGCATTTAATCTAATCCACAATTAGGAAATAAATCATCAATCATTAACTCACATTGTTTCTTCCCCAAAATGTTGATTTCTTTGAATTAACTTTAGCTTTACCCACTGGCTTCTCAGTAGATGACTCAAGTCCCAATGCAGGTACAGGATGGCCAGGATCCATTGATGACAAAATTTCTCCCATTGATCGGTAAGATTCACCAGTGGATAACACATTTGAAGCACCAATTTCATTTCCTTTCTTCTGCTTATCTTGTTCTTCCATCACCTGACCATTAGGATCCTGAATTATTGGAGGATCAACTGTTACACTTGAACTCTCAGTCTGAGCATGGTTGTCTTTAGGTGATCCAACATCTGAATCCTTCTTTCATAAAAACAAAAAATGAATGTATCAGTTAATTAAATTGGATCATGGATTGAGTTTCCAAACTCTTTGAATGAACAGGAAAAATTAGAATATCAGTGAAAAGAGCTTGTCTTGTTAACACAGTTCACATAGACAAGTATAAAGGAGCCTAGATATATTGGAGAAGACATCAGAAACCAATACCCATAGAGATACAAAAAGAAGGTTTTCATCCTCAATCTCTGAAGAGACATGTCAAATCCAGAGGTGATGCATGGACCACAAAGTAGCTGGTACACCCTTTTCCTCGATTTGACTCAATCTAAGGCATGCACCCTCTAAGATCCCCTAGACCAGCATTTCAGGCTTTCAGCCCATGGATTATCAGTTGACCCCAATTCCTCATCTTCCTCAAATTGCAGCAGAGCATTCTTTCTTATAGATGCACGCTTTGGCATGAAGTGCATCCGCCCAAACCATCAAAGTTGTGATTTTCCTAATTTATACTCACCATTTTATATTCAACTTATAATGTAATTTCTTAGTTTATACCTATTGGAGTAAGCACATACTCATGCTCTGTTAAAGGAGTATTCTCTAACTGCCCAGCATTGAATATCAAAGGCATAAAGCTCCAGTACCTTATCTTGGATAAGACAAAGTAGTAAATTGGAGCACCAGTATCTACACATAAAACGCGGTGGTAGTTGTAGTAGTAGTAATTATAATAATAATAATAGTAATATTCAAATCTGGCATCCTCTAGCAAAAAGCGGGGTACGCTCCTTATCGAACAAACAGCTATGTTTGATGAATGACCTTGTTTAAGCTTATGGAATGATGGTAAGCCTTCCTAAAATTAAGGACGTTAATCAATTATATCCAGTGAAGCACCTTTGCACTGAAAGACCCATTACCCAGATTCCATGTTCTTTTGTTCCAATAATATGCATGTCCACTGCTGCTCTTAGGTAACATAATGCATATTGATGCAGACAATGTACACATTCATAGAAAGAAAGGAAGTGAGAAAAAGAACCTTATAGTCATAGAGATCACTGCCAGCATAACCACTGCTCTCACTTAATTTCCCACTGTGAACACGTTCAGGATCATCATCTGTTTCAGGATCGACTTCATTTTCTGCATCATGGTAACCATTGTCTTTTATATCCACATTTTCATCATCAGTTGAAACTTCACTTCCACTGTTATCAATCTGAGAATCAGCCGAAATAGAACATCTTTGTAGATTTTCATCCTGAAAAAATAGACAAAATGTCCATGGCACTCAAATAATGACTAGCTTAACCATATTTTGGAGTTTGGACATCAAAATTATGAGAAAGAAACAATTTTTCCATCATTAGCAATGATACAAGACTGGAAAGGCTTTCAGTCATAAGCAATAAGGTATAACTAAAATTAACAATTGCTCACCATTAAATATATAACAACCATGTCATTCACACCAAAGCGGATTCTAATTATCACCATTACTAAAATTAGTTACTGAGTACTTAATAATAGCCAAATATCCATGACAGCATTCATTTGACACCAAAATTATCACTTCTGGCCAACAGGAAAAACAAAACGCACAGTTCTCCATGCAACATAGCAATACATAGGGAACAATAATACTCATAAAAAAATTAAGTTAGGACAATCTTACATCAAAAATGGTTTCATACTCCTCTAGAAGAGTTGTAACAATGGCTTGAGCATTATTCGCAGCATTTGCAGCAGCTAGAAGCTGGGAAGAATTATCACCATTGAGATCATAGTCATCCTCCAAGTCACATTCACCAGCTAATAGAGGCCGTAAGAGTAGGGGTGCCATGCAAGCCGCAACAGCAGATGGAGTCATTCGATTCTCATGAGCATGAGATGATATTGTATGCATCATCTTCAGAATCCTGCAGAACACAAGCATGTTAAAATTCAAAATATTAGAAAAATATTTGAGGCTCCTTAACATAGTAACACCACAGAGGTGCCTGCCAAGCAGGTAGATCCCCCACCCCCCCAACTCAAACCTCTCTCTCTTCGACTCTCTTATAATCAATAGACCAAATGTCTTGATGGAAGAGACTATTCTACACCAAAACAGAAAACATGTCTATGCCCCATTTGCAACAAAAATCAAATAGAAACTAAAGTCTTCTAAAAGTCTAAAATATGTTGAATCAAAAGCATAATTTATAACTGTTAGCATTTGATAAAGCACTTACAGTATAAAGCACACAAACAACAGAAAGAAAGTAAAACATGTCATGATAGAAAGATGAAGAAAAGATACCTTTGTAACAGGCGCCGATTTGGTTCAGGAAATGTCTCTAATATTGCAGAACGCATTGCACTAATCCGAGCTTCCTTCCGATCAATTTCTTATCAGAAGCAAAACAGTAAAAGCGACAAAAATCAACATTTTTAATGAAGCAAAAAACAAAAGTCCACTAAATCAAGGAAAAAAAAAAAAAAAACCTAGATAACAACTTACTGTAAGCCTCAAGCAATGCAGTGCAGCATGAAGCTGGAACTGGAGATGAGGGTAACTCCCGAAGGACATGCTGCAGATTTAATTGCTTGGCTTAAAATGAACAATGTCAATTGAATTTAAAAGTCCTGTGGCATAGCATATTACGAATAATTACCTTAACACAGTCTCCCACAACATGAGCATCCTCATCTGGACCAAATTCAGTCTTGCCTAAGAATGTCATAATAAATATAAGTAATACGGCCTAGATTTGAGGGGCATGTTAAAGAAAAGTAACCTAAACATGAAGCTTAAAAGCAGTTTTTTTCTGGCAACAACTTTAAAGCAGTTGACATATCCAATAACGTCATTAAAGCAGGTATTTTCAAAGAAAAGTTGAAGTGAGTAGAACAGCTACCCTGTTCATATTCCTGAACTCTGCAATCTACCTCCTCAACATCTGCAGACTGTCTAAGAATTCCTTCGACTTTAGTTCCTATAAGAAAAAAATTGTCCAGTGAGGATAGGTGATAATAATAATCATAATGGTGATAGAGATTGGAGAACACAATTTTCTCCCCTTCAGTTCATGCTGGTTCTCAAATGGTCATTGTAAACTTTTCCCAAAATAGTCTCACCATCAATAATATACAAAAGATGCTGAATCACTGAGTACAAAGTACCATACAGACTCTAACCATACCAAAATGGAATGTGCCTAACTGAAATTTGCTATCAATGCTTACCAAAATTCTCAAGAAAACGAAGAGCTTTCTCAAGAAATGAAGGACCACCATCAATATCTTCAAGTGCCAGCAGAATCGGTCTTCCAACAACCAAAGATTTAACAGGGCGTTTATCCCTCCCTGTCCCTGTGTAACATACAAGGAATCTAATAAAATCAGGTAAAAAGAACAAAGGGATTAAGGAGAATCAGGATATCCTGGCAATTAAAATGCCAAAAATGATAATAAAAGGACTTAAATAACCCTACTGAATCAATGTGCAAAAAAAATTCATTAAGGGTATTTAAATAAATTTCACAGGCATTACTAACATTTTAAATGCCATGACGTCCTGATTTTCACTTTTCTCTAAAGACAAACTAGCAGTAGAAATAAATTTTAATTTTCAATTAGGGAAGGGAACAAACATTGACAGAATGAGCCTTCAATCGAATCACTTGTTTCATTCCGAAAAATACCATTGTGTTCCATGACAAGAGCAGCACTGGGCGCTTGTGCAAGAGCATGTTCTAGAGCTGTCTTCCACTCAAACAAATCCTCTGAAGTTTCTGCCTGAAATTTAGAAAACAACAAAGGAAGTTTTCAACATTCTGTAACATTTAAGTCCGAAATATCCCGGACCAGAGATTTTGCTATCTATGTATAATTATCAAATCATAAAAATAAACCTGAAAGAGATCAAAATGGCAACATAAGCACCTTAAGAGTGAAGGCTCGCCCATCACGCCCATCAGGGAATAGTACAGTTAGCAATTTTTTATCTTCTCTAACAACAACACTGCAAAACAAGAGCATCTGTAAGCCAGATTAAAGATAAAACTCTCATGTAATCAAATGACTATGTGTACCTTCCAGAATTATTCAAGTCAATGCCTCCTAACGTTATATTAACTTCACCCCCTCTTTGTGGTAGGGCACTCTGCATGGAAATCAAAACAAAAAGAATTTGTTTCAATTAAGTTGCACTGACCCAATCTGATTACTACAAAAACTGAGTCAATTTTTTTGTTTGCAGAAAAAACTACTGATTTGTTATTCATTAATGCTTAGACTCAGAAAACCAGGAAATACCTTCAACTGAATAAGCAAAGTAGCTTCAACAGAATGCACAAAAAAAGGGAAACAAAAGTTGACCAGTCATCATACAAACATAAAAATAAGGTCTGAGATAACAAAGTGGTAATACAAAAAAGTCTTCGTGACAAAAGGAAAATTTGAACCATTAAAACCTGAAAATTTGAAAAGAAGATGACACATACTGCAATAAAGAATGCAATGAAAAAAGGATAATCAGTACTAACAGGATCATTTTTGAAGAAAACTAAGGAATTGCGTGTGAGGATAAACCATCTTCTCTTCCAAGACTTCCAGCCTATGCCTGCAGAAGTGGTACCTTATAAGTTGCCCAACAGAAGAAAGTCCTATTGCTTTCTAAAACTACTAACAACCATATAAGTAATGGTCAAATTATTAGAAAGAAAAGCTGAAAAACCAGAAGTAACAAGGGAAGCAAGCAAGAAACAAAAAAAAAAAAAAATACTTCACCAACCTTTTGAGGATATGAACAGCGGGCCACTCTTGAAAACCTGCAGATTCATTGCAAGTCAGAAGAAACTCGTAACAATATCTAACTGCGTATTGCTCTTGAGAACTAATCCGTCCATTCAAAACAACATGATGGAATGGAAACATATGAAATTATAATTGAATTTCACTCCTACCAGAAATTCCAATGCATTAACGCTATTATCAAAAAATTTCACTAAATAAAGCATCATACAATCAATCCAAGCATAAAACGAACTTTAACCTTTGCTCCAACCACCTCCAATACAAACTTAAACACACAACACAATACAAAACTACACAAATTGATCCAAAATTTTCCTCAAAAGAAAGGCAAATCGTACCGTATTGGAAGCTCCGCCTCTTGGCCGCTCGAAAGCCGCTAAAGAAGCTGACATTTTCGCCGATTAACATCGAAAGGCGAAATCAATCAAAGCAAAAAAAAAAAAAAAAAACCAACAGAAACGTATCAGCATTTCAACAACATCGAGCTCCTCCTCGAGTTCTCCATCGGAAGATCGCCGAAACTAACTAGATATAGCAAGATCTGAAGCTAGAAGAAAGCTAGCACAGATTGCTTCAGCTTAGGGTTTTAGATTCAAAAGAAATAATAATAATAATAATAATAAAGAACCACCAACCAGAGCTACTGCAGTAGTCTATGCTACAAACATACATCTATTACGTATATACATTTACTTGAATATTTATCTTTCTTTCTTTTCTTTTTTTTTCTCTCAGAATTTCTCGCATTTTCTGTCTGAGAACTCTGAGAAAGAGAGAGAGAGAGATGGCTTATGGTTTTTGAATTTGCATTCGGAATAGTTTTTTTTTTTTGTTTTAAATTATTGGATTAGGTTGAGAGCAATAGTGAGTGGGTGTCATGTCGTAGTAATACGGTAATCGAGAGAAAGAAGGAATGCTTTTCTTTTCACCGACTTCACTGAAAATGGGATGAGGGGAGAGGGGGTTAGTGAAGATTTAAGTATGGTCCAATATGGTCAAATCTTAATCCAAGTCCAGTCAATCAAAACCAGCCACATAATAATTAACGATGTGGCCATGCTCACCCGCCATTTTCCTAATATTACTTAAAAATTGTTTATTTTAATTAATATTTTATTTATTTATAATTTTTAAAAAAATTAACA